ACTTTGAGACAGAGTCTCACTAAATTGCAATTTGGGATTCTCTTGCCTCAGCCTCCCCAAATTGCTGGGATTACAGGTACGCACTACCATGCCCCACTTATACCATTTATCTTAAGCATAGAACATGTAGTGCCTTCCTGTTGACTCTCATCAACTTTTAGACCTGTACTCCTACCTCAAAACCTTCAGTCAAGAGAAGATAATCTTTGGATGGAAGGATTTCACAACTAGTGGGGGATGGTTTAAGAGTTGTAGAAACCACTTCAACCTCAATAGCATGCAAAACCGTTGGTGAGGCCGTGTCTGTGGAATAAGAGGCAGCAAAATCTACCCAGTATTATTAGGATGATTGGCAAAAGAGCAATCTTCCAGAATACAGTGAGGCTGATGTCTTACAGGGAAATATACCTAACTGTATTTCTGTTTCCAAACTAGAAACAAAAGAGCTGGGAGTGTAGCTCAGTGGTAGAGTGCTTGCCTAGCATGCATGAGGCCCTAGGTTTCATCTCCAGCACTGCATAAAAAGAAAAAAGAAAAAAATCTCAAAGAAGGCCCTGTTTGAAAAGCAACTAATGACCTTCTAAACACTTTCCTTCCCCTACTCCCAGGTCCAGTGGTAGTATAGTTCTATAGGGCTATTAATCCTGGTGCCTTTAAATCAAGCAACAGCAGCTGGGTGAGGTGGCACAGACCTGTTCCAGTCCAGCCTCAGCAACTTAGCAAGACCCTGTATATTAAAGAAAAAAAAAAAGCGTCTGGGGATGTGGCTCAGCAATAAAGTGCCTCTGGGCTCAATCACCAGTACCAGAAAAAACAAACAGACAAACAGACAAACAAAAAATACCATCATTCTCCACACACACACCCCCAACCAAAAAAAAAAAAAAAAAAAAAAGATTGGGGATATAGTTTGGTAGTAGAGCTCTTGCCTAGCATGTGCCAGGCCCTGGGTTCTATCCTAGTACCAGGGGAAAAAAATTGTATAGACTTCTATGTACTAATGTACATAGAAGTACTAATGTACATAGACGTCTACAAAAAGACTTCTATGTATATTAGTACATAGAAGTACATATAGAAGTTCATATGGAAGCTTGTGTGTGTGTGTGTGTGTGTGTGTGTGTGTGTGTGTGTGTGGTGCTTGGGATTGAACCCAGGGCCTTGTACATATGAGGCAAGCACTCTACCAACTGTGCCATATCCCCAGCCCCAGAAGCTTTCTTTAAAATGGCTAAAAACTGGAAACAAATGTCTATTAACAGTAGAACAGAAAATGGAATAATGTACATAATTAGATAATATTTCATGCAACAACATAGATGACACAGATAAGAAGAATAAATCAGACACAAAAATGCAATACTATATTGTAGTATTGTGTGTATGTAGTATGGTTTCATTGATGATAGAGGTCAAATAGGAGTTAACCTTGGGGATGTAGTGTCAGGGAAGAGCAAGAAAGAGTGTTCTGGATCCTGGAAAGATCCTTGATCTTGACTTCTTTTTTTTTTTTTGGGGGGGGGGTACTGGGGATTAAACTCAGGGGTACTAGACCACTGAGTCACATCCCCAACCCTATTTTGTATTTCATTTAGAGACAGGGTCTCATTGAGTTGCTTAGTGCTTAGAAGTTACTGAGGCTGACTTTGAACTCAAGATTCTCCTCTAGGGCTGGGGATGTGGCTCAAGTGGTAGCGCACTGGCCTAGCATGCATGAGGCACTGGGTTCAATTCTCGGTACCACATAAAAATGAAATAAAGAGATTGTGTCCACCTAAAAAAAACCACAAAATAAATATTAAAAAAAAAAAAAGATTCTCCTCTCTCAACCTTCCAAGCCGCTGGGATTACAGGCATGGGATTACCATGCCTGTTGATCTTGGTGGGGGTGATCATGCAAGTGTATGGTACTAGAAAAAATTTGTTAGGCAGGGCTGAGGGTGTAGCTCAGTTGTAGATCTCTTGTCTAGCATGTGCAAGACCCTGGGTTCAGTGCCAAAGAAAAGAAAAGAAAAAGAAGAAAAGCCAATTATTGGGTAATTTAAGTTAAGACAGTTTATTTCAAACAGTCATGGTGGTGCATGCCTGTAATCCCAATGGCTTGGGAGGCTGAGGCAGGAAGATTGCAAGTTCAAGGCCAGCCTCAGCAATTTAATGAGGCCCTAAACAACTCAGTGACACCCTGTCTCTAAAAAAATATCAGAAAGGGTTAGGGGTGTGGTTCAATGGTTAAGTGCCCCTGAGTTTCAATCCCCGGTACAAAAAAAAAAAAAAAAGTTAGTTTATATTTGTTGCAAGTCAAAAAAGTACAAAGTTAAAATTACTTGTAGCATTATCAAATATTGGGGCTATATCAACAAATACTTGAGCAGCTCAAAATTCAGTGGCAACATTTGATCAACATTTTTAAAAAGTAGCAACAGCTGAGCAAGTGTGGTTAACTTCTCAAGCTGAACTAGAGCCAGCCATTGCTTAGGCTCCCTATGTGTCCCCAAGCCCTTATGTACAAGCTATCCATAGTCATGATGTCTTTATTGTTATTGTTACACACTGGCAAGAATATCTAGATTGGGTGGATGACAAGCATTCAGATTCAGTTCTTTCTTTTTAGTATGCTTCTTCTTCCTCTTTAATATAAAATATTTTAAGGGCTGGGGGTGCAACTTTTTTTTTTACATTTATTCACATTTATTTTTGCTTTTAGTGCACTTGGGGGTGTAACATAGTGGTAGAATATTTGCATAAGAGGGCTTGAAATGGATCTCCATAAGGAAAATGTGTGTGTGTGTGTGTGTGTGTGTGTGTGTGTGTGTGTGTGTGGTGCATGCACATGCACATTAATTTATTATAAAATTTTATTCTGGACTGGGCGCAGTGGTGCACACCTGTAATCCCAGAGACTCAGGAGGCTGAGGCTGAAGGATTGCAAGTTAGAGACCTGCCTCAACAATTTAGGGAGGCCCTAGCAACTTATCAACTTTGAGACCCTGTATCAAAATAAAAAAGGGCTGGGGATGTGGCTCAGTTGGGTAAGGGCCTCTGAGTTAAATACCCCCCCCCTTTTTTTTATTCTGTACATCATACTACCATATATTGATTTGTTGCTATTGTTTTTATTGGATATTGAAGCCAGGGGCACTTACTGCTGAGCCACATCCCTGTCCTTTTATTTTTTATTTTGAGACAGGCTGGCCATATTTTTTTGTTGTTGTTGATAGACTTTATTTTATTTATTTATATGTGGTGCTGAGAATTGAACCAAGTGCCTCACACATGCTAGGCAAGTGCTCTACCACTGAGCTACAACCCTAGCCCTGTAGCACAATTCTTGACACCCAGAAAGTGAAAATCCAGCCACTTTACCCAGGAATTCCACCTCCTATTCCCAATATGTGTTCTCTCACCAAAGTTGTCAATAACCCTGAGCCCCCAAAATCTTTTAAGTACAGTAATAAAAATTGAATTTTCCTTCATCTGTCTGTAATCCCAGCAACTCAGAAGTCTGAGACAGAAGGATCACCAGTTTGAGGCTAGCCTCAGCAACTTAACAAAACCCTGTCTCAAAATAAAAATTAAAAAGGGCTGGGGATCTAGCACATGCGAGGTGCTGGGTTCGATCCTCAGCACCACATAAAAATAAATAAATAAAATGAAGGTATTGTGTCCAACTACAACTGAATATATATATATATATATATATATATATATATATATATATATATATATATATATATGGGTGGGGGTGGCTGGGGATGTAGCTCAGTGGTAGAGTGATGGATTCAATCCCAGTTACCAGAAATTAAGCATAGTAGACCCTTTTCTCCCTATGTTCTTCTCCTGCTTATCTCCTAAGGTGGCTTTCCATTACTGGCCTGTCCTATAGGATAACATTTACTTTCCTAACTGCTTGACCCCTACTTGGGGTCCTTTTTTACTCCTACTTTCTTTATATCTCCATCAGTTCACTTATTACCTGATAAACTGTTTTACAAATAGTTTGTATCCTTTTGGAAGATTCATTGCTTAATCTCTAGTGCTTTTAATACAAATAATTAAGTTTGAAACAGAAACCATTCTAAGTGCTTTACATTTATATCAGCTCATTGCCTCCTCACTATATCTATGCAATAAATACTCTTATTATCTCTGACATAGAGAAAGAAACAGGCACAGGGAGGTGAAGTAATTTCCTCAAGGTTGCATGCATATTGGCCTTCAGGTACTCATGCCCAGTTTGTCTCCAAAGTTGACTTCATTTTTGGTGGAAAGGATTGAACCCAGGTGTGTTCTACCACTGAGCTACAAGCCCAGCCCTCATTTTTTATTTTAAGACAGGATCTTACTAAATTGCCCAGATTGGCCTTGAACTTAGGATCCTCCTGCCTCAGCCTCCAGAACTGCTGGGAATATAGGCCTGTGCCACCACACTAGACAACAGTTGGCATATTTCATGCTCTATTATATTGCCTGTGTATAGAGTGGGCACTCAGTAAGTGTTAAGTAACCAATAGTTATGCTCAGTGAGTACACACCACACCCCAGGCTCTGTGCTAAATGCTTTATTTAGATTATAACTTAAGACCAGTGTCTTAAACCCGGTAAGATGAGCTGGGTTGTGGCTCAGGAGTGCTGAGTGCTCGCCTAAGCACGTGTGAGGCACTGGTTTTGATCCTAAGCACCACATAAAGATAACTAAACAAACAAACAAAAGTATTGTGTCCATCTACAACTAAAACAAACAAGCAAACCTATAAGGTGTCAGCGCGCCAGTAATTCCAGCTACTCAGGAAATGGAGAAGAATCCCTTCAGCCTGGGCAATATAACAAGACCACATATTGGGGGAAAAAAAAGTAGCCATTACCCTCTACCCAATGAGACCCACAACCCTGGAAGGGATTGGCGTCCCGGATGAAGAACGGCATGAAACCCATTTTGACATCTACAACCTTGAGTCCGAACAGAGTTCAGAACCTCAGATAAAAGCACAAGTTTGACTCACAATTTGGGGCAGAAAGAGAGCAGCCCTGGAAGACAGACCCAGAATCGCAGGGAAATGGAAACAATGCAGGCAAGATGGAAGACCTTCCTTGGCCCCATGCCCTGTATCATAAACTCTGGGCTCAGGAGTTGGTTGGTTGCTCAGGCGGCTCAAAGGTCTTCATTGGGGAGAACACATCCACAGAGATCCCAAGGTGATGATGTCATCAAAAGATTAATTCTGAGCTGGGACCCTGAGGGCAGATTCTGTAGCGGCGATGGAAGGGTTAACAGCTCTGCACGTCCTACCCACGGAGACGAGGCCTTGGGGCGGGTCGTGGCTCGGGCAGGTGACTAGAAGTTGGTTAACCGCCTCGAGTGTGCTCTACAGGAACCGGGAATAGGGCGCTCCCTTTACCACAGCAACCCAATTGGTGTTAACCTCCCAGTGAGGTACTCTGGGGGCGTGGCCTGGGTGGGCGTGACGTGGGTGGCGACGAGAGGGTTAACCGCCGCAGAGGGCCCCCCCTGGGGGCGGGGCGCGAGGCTCGCGTGTCCTATAGTGGTAGGGTCCAAAGGCGGAAGCGGACGGCTGTCTGCTCCCAGTAAACGGGGCTTCTTTTGGCTGGTTTCATCCCGATGCCCCGCGACTTCCCGGTTGGGAAGTCGAGCGAGGTTCGGGGTCGGGGTCGGAGGCAGGAGTAGGGGCGGTAGTGGGGACGGGGTCGGGGACTCTGTGTAGGCAAGAAGGACAGCCTATTGTGAGGTCCGGAGAGGGCGAACTCGAGTGTCTTGGGCGACCCAGCACAGAGCGAAGGCAGGGTGATGGGCCCTGGAGCTTTGGGGGTGCCGGGAGAGAGGAGCCGGCCAGTCGGCATGCGTGGTGAAAGGATGGGGTGCCCGGGTGAGGACCACCCATCCAGAATACCGCACTTCATATCCCTTTCTCTCCCAACTCCCCTCCAGGTCATTCCCAATCTGGAACTCAACTTTGAGAAGAGAGACGCCCCAGCAAGACTGTTTCGGGGCGTCCTCCAGCTGCTCACCTCCATGGGCCAGACGGCCCTGGCAGGGGGCAGCAACAGCACCCCCACCTCGCAGGCTCTGTATCCTGACCTTTCTTGTCCCGAGGGCTTGGAAGAGCTCCTGTCTGCTTCCCCTCCTGACCTGGGGGCCCAACGGCGCCACGGCTGGAACCCCAAGGACTGCTCAGAGAACATCGAGGTCAAAGAAGGGGGGTTATGCTTTGTGCGGCGACCCGTGGCCCAGAGCACTGATGGGGTCCGGGGAAAGAGGGGCTACTCCAGAGGCCTGCACGCCTGGGAGATCAGCTGGCCCCCGGAACAGAGGGGCACACACGCGGTAGTGGGCGTGGCCACGGCCCTCGCCCCACTGCAGGCAGACCACTATGCGGCGCTGCTGGGCAGCAACAGCGAGTCATGGGGCTGGGACATTGGGAGGGGGAAGCTGTACCATCAGAGTAAGGGGCCTGAGGCCCCCCAGTATCCAGCGGGACCTCAGGGTGAGCAGCTGGAGGTGCCAGAGAGGCTGCTGGTGGTTCTGGACATGGAGGAGGGAACTCTGGGCTACGCTATTGGGGGAACATATCTGGGGCCAGCCTTCCGCGGACTGAAGGGCAGGACCCTCTACCCAGCTGTAAGCGCTGTTTGGGGCCAGTGCCAGGTCCGCATCCGCTACCTGGGCGAAAGGAGAGGTGAGGCCGGGGGTGTGGGGAAGAAAAGAATTGTCACTAGTGGCAGTGATTTGGAATGGACCCTCAATGCTGGACAAGAGCAGAGGCTTTCATTTGACCTGTCTCCTATCCTTACTCAGTTCCAGGAATGGCTGAGGTTCTTCAAGCTGTTATCTAATTTACTTGGAGGCAAAACTGAGGCTTGGGAACAACTTGCTCATATTCTCTTGGTGAACCCTCAGAATGGAGGGAGGCTCTTGGGAGATATCAACCCTTGAGCAAGATGGGCAAAGGGTTAAATGGGTCCTGGGCTGGGTTTACAGGTCCAGAAAAGTACTGGCAGTGCCGGGTACCAAGAGTGTGTATCAGATTTCCTGGGCTCTGACCTGTACGTGCCACATACCTACTTCCTTTTCCTGTCAAATCCCAGGATGGGGCCTTTGGGGCCCTGATCATGGCTTTGGGTGGGGCTGCAAGGGAGGAGCCTCCTTGGGAACCAAATGGGACCAGTACTGGGAGTTGGCTCTGAAGTTGCAGTCTTCAGCAGAGGGCTGGTGCCTGTCCTCCTGTTACCCATGCTGAGCCACACAGTGGAGCAGGCCCATCCTTCCTTTCATTTCCTCACCCCAGCTCCAAGGCCCCTCTTTTTTTTTTTAATATTTATTTTTTAATTGTCAGTGGACACAACATCTTTATTTTTATGTCGTGCTGAGATCGAACCCAGCGCCCCACGCATGCCAGGAGAGTGCGTTACTGCTTGAGCCACATCCCCATCCCCTCCAAGGCCCCTCCTGAATCAAAGCCTGGGCCACCTCCACCACTAATGGGCCCATATTGGCCTATTGCTTAGAGGGCTTTAGCTAGAGCTTCAGTCCAGCTCTTTCAAGATAATCTCAGCTGTGAAATCAACTGTGATGCCTTAGATCTCCCTCAGCCAAGGTGGAGTCAGGTGTACAGCAAGAAACAAGGGAGGCTGGGTAAGATCCTGTAGTTTGAAGATGTCTGGCTGGTGGCTGAACCCCTATTTACCTTCTCCTTCTTCTCTCTCCCAGCGGAACCACACTCCCTTCTGCATCTGAGCCGCTTGTGTGTGCGCCACACCCTGGGGGATACCCGGCTGGGCCAGGTGTCTGCTCTGCCCTTGCCCCCATCCATGAAGCGCTACCTGCTCTACCAGTGAACCTGGGATACCAGACTGTGCTGGAGCCACTGAGGGCCTAGACCAGCAGTGAGGTTGGGTCCCTCCCCCAATTCAAGCTCTGGGGAGCTCCACAAGTCTCAGTGCTACCCAAAACAGTGTGGCAGAGAATTTTCAAGGCTGTGGCAGCCTGGTACATAAGACATTTTTTAAAAGTAAAAATACTAAGAGATGTGTTGTTATAGAAACCTGTTAATGGGGTTTTTTTGTTTGCCTTTTAAAACAAGGGTAGTCTGTGACTACCTCAAAAAGCCCATTGTGAGTTCCGGAGAGGTCCTCAAAAAGGAAAAAGATTTACAGTGAAGGAGAACAAACCGCAGACTTAGTGCCAGATGTTTTATTTTCCTTACATGTGCGAAAGCTCACATACACAACACACAGGAATTGGCACCATGGGAGAGGGAGCATCCCTGGCCTCTGAGGGGAGAATATTGGCCTTGGTGTGAGAAGGGAAAGGAACATGGTTTCTCTCTCTTGCTCTCACCAGGGCCTGAGGGGACCCATGAGCGAGCTCCATTCCTTCTACCTCTCAGTTGAGGAGAAGCCACCTTGGTGACATGTTTAGTTCTAACCATTATAGTAAGTGGTGGATTAACCTGGTTCCAACCATCACAGAGGAAAGGTGTAAATGGTAAAGGAAGGTACAGTGGATTAGGCCTTGAGAGGAGGCAGATGACAACATCAGAAGCATGTGAAGGGTGAGGGCAGTTACTTGGCTTCTGGACTACCTAATCCCTGGCTTAGCGGGAAGAACAGATTGATGGCACTTATTGTTTGGCATTGATGATGTCCACAAATTCGGGCTTGAGGGAAGCACCACCCACGAGGAAGCCATCCACATCAGGCTGGCTGGCTAGCTCTTTGCAGGTTGCCCCAGTCACAGAACCTGGGGAGGAGGTAGAAAGAGGGTTTTGTCAGGGATGAGATAAATATACTCCATCCCTACCTCCATGTCTATAGTGGCTCAGCCTACTTGATAGGATTCACAAGCTAGAGCCAAACCAACTTACCTCCATAAATGATGCGAGTGCTCTGAGCCACTGCATCAGAAACGTTGGACTTGAGCCATCCCCGAAGTTTCTCATGTACTTCCTGGGCCTAAAACAAGAAGGCAGTCTAAGAAAGACCCTTTCTGCCTTTTAAAGAGGAAATCACTGGCACCAATGGAGAGAGAGTGTGTCAAGGCAAGAGCCCTGGAATCTGAGTCAGAATACTAAGGCTCCAAAACCAGCCAAGCCCTGGAATGGATGCCCTTGGACAAGTCACTGTGTTTTGGGGTTTGGGAAGCCAGGACTCCTGGGCTCAGATACCTGTTGGGGTGTTGCAGTCTTGCCAGTACCAATGGCCCACACAGGCTCATAGGCCAGGACGACCTTGTTCCAGTCCTTCACATTATCTGCAGGACACAGATCACAGAGGGAAGGGTGAACAAGGAGCTATATAGCCAATTTCCACAGAGTGTTAAGAATGATGATGGCCTACTGCCCCCTGGTGGCATCTATACATTCTGCAAGAGCAGAAGTGATTAGCTTGAAAGGAACTCCACCTTTCTTTGCAGCATGGGGATCAAGGCAGTCTGCAGGGCTTCTGACACCACCCCCCCTTGGCCCCATTTGTGGCCCTGGCAAGGTTCAAAGGTCCCTTTCTCCGGAGATACCTGCGATGACCTTGGTCTGTTCGAAAACAACCTTCTCTGTGATGCCAGCTTCCCTCTCATCTAGCTTCTCCCCAATGCAGGCGATCACTCCGAGTCCCTCTGCTAGGGCATGGGCCACTTTCTGCCCAATCAGCTGTTGAGGAACAGACTTGGTGAGACACCCTTCTTGGAATAAGCATCTCTTATCTCTTCTCATGATTACTAACCTCATCTGACTCCCCAAAGACGTGCCTCCTCTCCGAGTGCCCCAGGACTACCCACGTGGCTCCACAGTCTTTGATCATGCCAGGGCTAAGGGAAGAGAGAAAGCTCAAGTTTAGCAGGAAGCACACCCTGTACCTTTCCCCTCCATGAAAAATGTGAGTGAAAGGTTCCCCACCACTTCTCTCTCCATCTCCATCTCACCTGATCTCCCCAGTGAAGGCCCCATTAGTCACTTTGTAGCAGTTCTGCGCAGCCACAGCAATCTTGGGATCTAGTTTCTGCCGGGCGAAGTCGATGTAGGCAGTGGGGGGTGCACAAACCACCTCTGAGGATGAGATGTTGGCATACCCAGATGAGACCAAAGGAAGCCTTCATTCTCCAGACTTCCTATCCAGTGTCTGGCAGCCCTCTAGCCTTCAACTTTCTTGGTTTTGCTTTCCTTCCCCTTTAACCCCAGCAAGATGACCTTTGTCCACTTCCCAGCCTAGGCTTTCACCCAACTCCTGGAGACTTCCAAGTATCCCTTCCAGGCTACAGCCCTCACCCTGCCCTCTGCTCTTTTAACAGCTGTGGCTCCAATTTCCTCGGGTTATTCTGGGCATGAGTACCTCCCAGACTCAGCATTCTCTGGTGGCCAATCCTGCCTCCTTTCTAAAATAGCTTATCCTCACTAAAAAAAAAAAAAAAAAAAGAGAGAGGGGGCCAACTCTTGGGCTTGTTTTGGCGTCTTTAGGGAAATAATCGAGAAGGTGATGTCCCTTTGATCAGATCTGTGGTCTGATGATTTAGGTGGGTGGGAGGGAAGTATGGAGGATAGCACTCTGCCTGTGGTGGCAGGGAGCTGAGCGGCTCATAGCGGCCTTGCGCTTTCTCTTTTCCAGGTTGGGGAAAGCTGTAGGATCGCTCATTTACAAATGGCTCAGCTTGTTAGGCATCTACCCAGTTCCTTCCATAGAAGGCAGTAGTCACCCAGTGCCGACCGCTCAGGGGCCCAGCCCGGCGGGGCGCTGGGGAGGAGTCATGGGCTACGTGCGGAGGCGCACGGAGCCGGTTGCCGAAGGAGCAGGTAGTTGGAGGCCGCGGGTAACTAGGAGACCGCGCAAGCTCAGCCTCCACCCCCACACTCTGGCGGTGCTGTACCCCGCTTCTCCGGATCGCCCACAGAGGCTCAGGCTCGGCTCCTACCCTGGCTCAAGGCTGGTGCAAACCCAATCCACGCCCAGGGGCCATCTTCCTCCCGGGGACCCAATAATTCCTTTCCCGCCCCACCAGGCTAGAGCACCATTAAATGCCCTTCTTTCCACGTCCACACATCTCCGGTACTGCGGTTGCAGGGCCACTTCTCAGACACACAACGACCCTTGTACTTCAGCCCTGCATCCAGGTCCACGCGGTTACCAGGACTCGGGGAGCTCGGGAGAGGGCGCTGCCACGCCCGACACTCTCCACCAGTCCCAACGGTCCCCAAGGAGGGCTCACCGGTGTCGGCGGGCACCTTGGCCGCATTCAGGGTACAGATGAGTTCCCCCAGACACTTCTTCCGCCCGTTCATTTTCCAGTTGCCCCCCACGAAGAATTTCCTGGAGGGCGCCATGGTGCTAGTGCCGGCACACTGAAGGTCAGTATCAGCGCGCAGCCGCGGCCACTGCCCGCTTATATATACTGCTGTGAAGCAGAACTCCGCCTCCTCCCCGCCCTCAGCCATGATTAGCCCGGCCCCCTGCCTAAGCGGCCTCCCCACCAGCCCAATCCCCCAACCGCCCAGTGTTGCAAAGTTCTGACGTTCCCCACTTTCTTGTAGCAACGTTCTAGGGGTGTCCGAGGGATCAGTAGTTCTTAATTGTCTGATTTGTAGAAGTGAAAACTGTGAGACCCTGCGCTCAGGAAAACTCTCTTCATAACTTCAGCCCCCCAGAGAGGGTTCAGATGGGGTTAGCTGAGCAACTTGGACTTAGACCAGATCGCTCACTAGGACTGAGGGCTGAGGGAATGTCTCTCAGAGCCCCCTTCCCCCATTGGAGTTACCTACATCTCTGACGGCTAAGCAGACACCCTTGATCTAACCCACAATTGCTGGGAAAATACTAGGTTCAGTAGGAGGATCAGCTCATATCATCAGCTGTGCAGACAAGAGGTACTTCAGAAATCTGAAGCCAGTTAATACCCCCACCTCACCCCTGGGCGTCCCACTTTTTGCTTCAGTTGGCCAAGGCCTGAATAGAACTGTAGAGGTCCAGTAGCCACCTCAGACTTCTGGGGAAATACTTAGGCCTCTTCCTATATGACTGCCATAAGGAAGGGCTCTTTACCCCTATTTTTCCTTTGTGTTCTGCATTTTTTTTTGTCACTTTATTATAGTTCCCCACCTCACATTCAATTTTCCAAGAATTTTAAAGCTAGTGACAAGTAGAAAAATGTCTAGGAGTTGGGGAGGAGGCAAGAGTTTCTGAATCTGGTCCCCTGGACAATCATCTTCCCCAGCAAGATAAGTCTCCCCCAAGGTAACAAACAGGACAGTTTAGCCATTGTATTTTTATTCACATCGTGTATTTTGGCATTTTTCAGAGGACAGGGAAGAGACAGGGTGGGGGAAAGACTGAGGCAGGAGGGCAAGGGGGGGTCCCCATTTCCCTCATATCCCTCCTTGCCCAACCACACAGGAGAAAACACATAGGAGGGGAGGCACAGGTGCTCCCCTCCCCTAGAAGAGGATGCACAAAGCTACACCCACTCGCAGACACAAATAAGACCCCTCCCCTACACCAGGGGCTGGGCAGGATTACACAGAAGTAGAGTACTGTGGATTGAAGGGGCGGGGGAAGCCAACAGTCTCCTTACAGTCAGGTGGTCAGCCCCCTCCTGTCCCCTTCCCACTCTATCCCCAAAGTCTATCGAATGCCCCTCTGCTTTGCTTGGCCATTCTCCTATGGCCTCCAGCTTCTTCCCTGCTGCTGGGGACAAAAAGAAAAAGGGTACAGAGCAGGGGGCTGAAGTTATCCCTCAGCCCCTGTCCCTCATACCAGGTGGTTTGTCCCCTGCCTTCAGTGGTAAGGGGTGAGAGCAGGTTTTAGCTGGTCACTCTCTGGTAGAAGTAGATATAGCCCAGGTCCTTGGGTGGCTTCTCAGAGGCACACACTTTCTGATCATTGTAGATCACCCATCTGATGGGGTAGGAGAAGGGACACAATAGATGAACAAACCGGGCACTCCAAGTTGCATCAACTTCATCTCTCAGCCATGGCATCTGGAGGTAATCCTGGAGCAAGGCTCCCAACATTCTCTGACTGGATCTCCGTATCTATTGTCCAGCTGTTACTAGTTTGAAGG